ATAACTTCCGGTTTTATTAAGAGTTCAAAATGACAGGTTTCTCCACTTTAATAGGTATTGGATCTTACTATACTCAATAATGCATGGTGTAACTTGATTTTTGACGTGACAAGGCGTGACCTGACGTGCTGAAATACGTCAGAACTCTTTGGAGTTCCAGTTTATTTTTGGAATTTAACAGTTATTTTATAGATTGGTTTTCAAAACGGCCGGCGCTTATCCCATGGTTTTCTTCAAGGAATTATATAGTCATTTCGGAATTATTATTAGATGCCATCGACAAGACAGCTTATGCTTAAAATATTCCCTTTTTCCGCGCGGGGATGGGGGTGGGGGTGTTGACATTTGACACCAACATTACCTAATCACCCTTCTAACCAGTAGCAATTAATGTAGAAACTTTCGTTGGTCCACTGTACACATCTCTATGTATTCCTTAACTTGACATGCAAACTAAAAGTGAGACGGCTGCCATCTGATACAGAAACCGAAAGGGAACTAGATCGCGGCCGAGAGTTACATCAAGGACATTAGATGACTCTCAAATTACATAGTTAACTTATCTTGTACTAAAACAGACGTGCATTATGCCCAAGTTGATAAAATTTCACAATTTACCCTTAGAAAGAAAAAATATCTTAAGTGTCACTAATTTATTCACGGTGTCATCGATTCTGTTATCTGAGATTCTAGACTTATTGCGTTGATAGAAAATGCCACTTTTCTCTATATGGCGATTCAAACAATTGACCAGAAAAAGTTTCTATAAATTAGTATACATTTTTGAAATATTCTTCTTGGGCAACATCTTAATGTAGACTTTATCTTGAAATAAAAAGTATTCTCTATTTAGACACGCCACACAGTCGTTGTTGTCCTGAACGTTTGGAGCGAAGCTAAAATCGAATAACGGACGAGAAAAATACCATAAAACTGATGTGATAACGATTTATTCATAACTTATTTTTTGTTCTCTATTTAAATTCATCTCGATGCATATCTGTTGAATTTTATTGTTCGTGTTCATACAGTATTACAAGATGTTATCTCTTTGGCAGTTACTTTTTTTTGGGGGGGGGGGGAGTGGGATATTTCTAAAGATCTGGACGCTTGACTAGGGTTTCCGCGTTGGTCCCTGTCCAACCTCGTGGGTTTTCTCCGGGTCCTCCGGTTTCCTCCCACTGCTAAAGACCCCTAAGCGCAAGCGAATTATTGAAATAAAATTAAACCATATGTTAGTCCCGAAATGACCTAGTCTGTGTCGAGTGGACGTTGTTAAACTCTACTTCTCTCTCTCTCTCTCTCTCTCTCTCTCTCTCTCTCTGCCCACCCCGCGTTGTTAGATAAGAAGATCCTTCGGGAATATTCAAGTCCGGGTTCCTAAATGTAACCCGGGGTTAATACTGAAAGAGTATCTATTATACATGTAATCTTCCAGAGACAGTTACAACCCTTCGTACCTAACTCGAATAAAAAAAAACTGCCCACTATGTATTCCAAATTTCGTTTTAAAGTATTGTTGCCTCCAAAAGTGTTACTTTTTTCCGGATCACCTGGTATCATTTCATGCAGTCTCATATGACCCCCACGCCACCCCCTGTGTCATTTTCTTCTAAATGCCATATTTGTGTACTATTTCTTTTTTTGTTTGGCAATTTCATTGAAAGTTGATAATCGAGTCATAGTTCTTAAGGTGATATTATGTATATACATCAATTTTTTCTTCCAAACATGATACGACTACATGTGCGTTTTATGTACGTTAATTATGAGGTGTTACCAGCCCTGAGCTCCAGATGGTCCACAACCTTCCAAACTCAGTATAGCTCGTTACGTAATCAGAGATACAACCCGAAATATGGTTTAACTTATTATTTCTACCTTTTTCTACTTTTCTCCAGTTTCTCTGTTGATGTTGTAAGCGAGTTCTGTGTTAATGTAGTGGCTAAGTGGGTGGATCAACATTTTTTTACTGCAAAATTGTAAGGAGTTGCGCCTTTTAGTACAGGCATGAAAACAACCCTTTTAATAACGCTGTTGAAAAACCATTTAAATGTAATTCGAGGCGCACGTGCTAGGCTATTTTGTAATGTCTATAAATATAAATTTCCCTACCTCATACTTTCAGGTTTTCAAGTAACATTTTCTCCAGTTATACCCAAATATCTTCAATCTTGATACTCGACGATTTCTTAGGTTTTTCGCTGCTCCAAATTGATAATGTCAGCATTGTAAAACAAACCGAAATAAGTTTATGTTTTAACTGCAGATGCACAATAACAAATTTATCTCACAAAGTACTAACCAAACAGAGAAATAGACTTGCCAACAACAATTCTCTAAAATCCACGCGTTGACACAGCATAGAGTTTACCGAAATGATTTTGGCAGGGGAATTATTATAGAAAATTAGATTGTGATCAATCCCATAATCTACTCTCCATTTGATGTCAGGATTTTAACAGAAAACAATTCTGCTTTAAATTATGTATTATAATTTGGGTGCCAGCACAAAGCGAACGAGTCTTAAGTAAAGTGAAATTGAACATTAAAACAAGTTGTATGGTGACCAGGTGAGAAAAACTCAATAGTCTTGTACTGATAACTTTTAACCAGTAATAAAGACCAATTTCCCTATGTTATTCAATCGTCAATAATCACAGAGAGCCCGTAAACCCTTCAAAATCTAAAATTGTGGTTGTGGTATGAATGACTAAGTTAGAATAATACGTATCAAAAGTAGGATGTATAACATTTATGTGAGACATTCAACGCGAACTTAATGCACTTTTTTAAAAAAAACTAAGCTGTATGTGTGGCAAAGCAAAAATGCACCATTTTTTGTTAGGTTGTGTTATTCTACATATAATTTTAATTTTCAGTGTGTATTGACGCGAATTGTGATAAAGAAACAGCAATAATTTTAACCTCTCAAGCAGCGCCTTTCTTTAATATCACATATTTTATTTTAAAGAGCTTTTGTGATCATTATACTCGATCTGGGAACATTTTCAAACGTATTTAACGTGTTACGTTGTTTAGGGTAAATGATCTGAAACAAATTAACCAGCCTATAGCGAAATCTTTTGGTTTAATTTATAATCTAGGATAGTATCTTTAGGCCAGTTGTTTGGGTCCGATCAAATCAATCACTCCCTCCCATTTATCGGCGTATAGATTACACATTTCCGCTCATGTCGGGCATTATGTCATGGCGAGTATCTGAAAGGCCACAGGGACCTTGTATATACCAAAGGTTTATTGCACTAGTTGTTGACTTTCTGTCAGCTGGTTTTCACTCCTATAATAAAACATTTGTATATACATGTACCTGTATGTGTATACCCTATGGTGATTTCTATATTTTAAAGATTAACTACATACTTACATATTTCTACAATATGATCGTTGGAACGAGTTGCTGCTGTAATTGACGTGCCTGATTTTGGCATTCGTTGCGTGTCGAAATCCAGTGAAGAGAGCCATTTGTAAATGAGCTAAACCGCTCTAATTAAAGTCAAAATAAAGTGCGGAATTTGGTTGATCGGGCGTGTTGTTATTTCGATTAGTGATAGGGCTAGCTCTATACGAACAAATTTTCTTTACTATAGAAAGTCAGTTTGTTTATCAATATTTCGTCAACGGCCTATGTTGTTGATTGTTGAACACAGAAGCTGCTCTTATCTCTATTTCTCTAAATCTTCGGACCCAAAAGTTTAAATGTTATACCCATTTGCAATTGAATCGACAACTTTAACCTAAATCAAGGTGGTTGTACCGTAAGTCTAATCATGAAACGTTATGACCACTGCGGATTCTGATCATCATGGTTCACCATGTGCTACAAGGATGTACATGTACTCCGTGGTGACATTGTTATCCCATAATAATGTTATAGCTCATGTATATATTTATAACTCGATAATTGTGTAACATGTTTGTCTGTTCGTCACTGTAATAAGTGTACATGTTTCTATGTTCCTCATTTCTGTATGACATACACAATGTAAGTGTGCCAGTTGTATTGGGACTATGAGCTCTATCAATTCAGCATTACACTGTAACACAGTCCAGTCTACATTCAGGTGTATTTTATATGTACACGACGTCACCACAACATATATTTATTATTTTATTAAAATAAAATTCATGATGGTTTTATGAAAATTATAAGTGTCGTCTTACATAATGCCTATAATACGAATACGTTTAGATATTATCATTTATGGAAGGAGTAAGTTAACTGTCAAACAATATTGTGTGAAAGGAATTAAGAAGAATATGTGCTTTATTTACCACAGACAAAGTATGACACTTCTGTCAATATTTAATAAATGCTTTTAAGAATAAATATATATATTATATTGCACAATGTTCGTTAAATATTTGCCTTTTTGCTATAAGAATACGTGGCCAGCAGCACTGGCTAAATGGGACACATGGGCTAAAACATCAACCCCGACTATACTTTTATTAAAATTCTATATTTAAAGTTCTTTAAATTGGTATGTGACATTTAAGCTATATAATATATTTTTATAAAAAATGAGGGAGATATTTAGATTAATTTTCAGAAAAAAGAAAAAAACAGGACGATTAAAAATTACTGAAGCAAACAAGCTAAAATACCATAGCAACCAAAAGCAGTAAATTTCACTACACGTTTCGTCCTTGGAGCCTTTGAGAAATAAAAAAAAAGTTTGGAAACTCAAAATCGTTAAACGAGGCGTAATGTTTTTAAGAGTACTGTAGTTTGTTCCGTCTAAGTTTTATTGTTCTGTTATCCTGTAATGTCTATTTCCAGAGCAATATAGAGAACTTACTGTCCGCAACATTTGATTAAGTTTAATCCCAACTCTAACCCGTGTTCGTTGTGGTATGTGATATAGGTGATATGAATAGTGGACTGATCCTGGCAACGAGCTTAATAGTCTAAGTAATAATTTTATTGGTTTCCCATCAAAAGAAATGTTTCTATTTATCCCCTTTTCTCTTTTCAGGAATCTTGGAGTGCATCATTTTGACACGTTTCGAAAGAGTAATTTATATTTATTAGCCGCCCAGCCCATGTGTACAGAATTACAGGGATTATCTCCGGGACAGGTTCGATTCTGCCGTGTATATCATGATCATATGCCAAGCATTGGACGAGGTGCTCAAATGGGAATAGGTGAATGTCAATATCAATTTAGAAACAGACGTTGGAATTGTAGCACAGTCGACGATTCGTCAGTGTTCGGTCCAGTGTTAAATATAGGTAAGTAAATTCATCCATCTTTAGGGAGTTTAACAGTCTATCCAACTGTAATCTCTTCAATGGTCACAACTCCCATGTAGATAACTTATATATATTAAGTTAGCCCTATAGCCGCTCATTGTCATGTCAGCTTCGTAAAATTTGTGTGATGCTTTCCAGATAGAAAAGGCTGTCATTTAGATATGGTGTTTGAAATATGAAAGGTGTATATTATTTTTTTTGGATGTAAGCAGATGTAACTTCAGACACCTGTATAGACCAGCGTTTTAACGTATTTGCACTAATCAAAAAGGGGGTGTTGAGTTCTCACAATAATGTACGTATTTTATGAGAACTTCCCACTTAAGAGTCATTTTAATTTATCATAAAACAGTTGCAAGTAAATACACAAAAAAACTGAAATGTTGCAACTTCTTATTTGAGGAACTTGCTATGTGAAATAAGCGTACAGGTATATTATAGATAAGAACACATCAGCGCAACAAGTTACAACGTTAGCTTGTTCCATTTTCTTAACTCGGACGGTGCAGAACAGTAGGACGTTAAACCCCATTTCATTTCATTTACAACGTTTTTACATTTAATTCTCGAGTATGTTATATTTTAAGCCTAGTAAAGTGAAGAGGAAATCCTCCCCATTCGGTCAGTTCAATTCGGATTCTGTCAGATCACTATATAGTCGACAGGCGAGCAAATCATATAGACGTAGTTAAATTGAATAGTGGCTGATAGGAATTAGCTTTCCGACTTTTTGCCAGAACTGTAATAAGGTGCAGCAGTTAAATCAGGCTGAATGCAATTTTCCATCTGTGTCGGGTTGAGTTTTTAACACAGCGAATTCTTATATTAGTAGAGAATCCCCTCCTTAAAGAACATCAGTTTGATAATGATTAATTTTAATAGCTTAATAAGGTGATTATGTTTGGTAATAAGTTGCAAGACATTCTTTAATACATAACATACATGGCAATGCATTATTCACAAAGCAAAATATGCAGCATCCTGCTGTGGCAGTAATATTCAGGAAAACTCGCGAGACAGACTTCGGTTCTAGCATTTTATTCTTAATCGCTTCAAGTAGTCGACGTCTTAAGAATTTTGGCAACAGTTTATTTGAAGTACATATTCAACTCCTGCGGTATCAGAATAGACTTTATTCTTCAGATATGAAAAGCTCAAAAGACTGGATTTCAGCGAAACTATTTCCTTGTCTTGCGGCGTATGGTGTATGTTGACAACACAATTACCTGGGTGTACTAGAATTATGTTTTATCTGGTGTTGAATATCCTAAACAGACACATGCAAACCATCGCCCATTTTACTTAGTAGACTAACCATATTTATTATCGACACTTGGCTGTAACTTCGGTCATAACTAGAGATCCTGGACAATTAGTTCAGAATTATATGATATTCATGGCACTTAATGCTGAATTAATGAGTCAAGTGGCGTGGTTTCGATTCCGAATTGTACTTTACAAGAAATAGGGTTGCCTGTCCAACCTCGTGGTTTTTTATACCGGGTCCTGTGGTTTCCTCCCACTGCTAAAGACTTTTACGCACAAGCGGATTTTTGAAATATAATTGAACCATACTATGTTGGTCCCGATATGACCTAGTTTGTCTCGAGTGGACATTAACCCCCAACGCACGCACGCACACACACCCACCCACCCCCACACACACACACACTCCCTCTCTATCTGAATTAATGGATTAATCAACAGTATAGAAAATGTAATTACCCTTGCTTTTTATAATCTTTTACTCCCAGAGTTAAGGTACAACAATATATCTATGACAATGTACGAAACTACCGTAAAAACGAATTTCTATTGTTTGTTGTTTTAATTCTATATTGAATATGAAATATCACATTTTATTTCAATACGGTATACCCAGACACATGTACTCCCAACGCCTATAATATGGAGTTACTATTTCAACACAATGACTCTCAACAAACAAAATTCTAGATTTCTTTCAAATATTTTTGAAATTCTCTCCAGCACGTGTCTTGTCTGCCGTTTCATTGCAAGACAGACGGTAAACACCGAGTTCACCTTCACACATTAAAGAGTTACCCATGCCAAAAATAAGTGACTGACTATAGAGTGAATGGGTGCCTTCTCTCCAGGAAATCTGATTCTAGGTGGAACCAGGGGTCACAAGGTCTTCTTGATCATTCAAGATGTCGGATTTGATGTTGTGGTTTATAGTCACGTATCGTGTATCGTTTTACCGAATTATACCCAGATATACATAAGAATTTCTTTAAAATAGGAAATGGGGTTATATCGAAAGCTAAATGTTAAAATCATGTTGATCTTCGATTCTATCTAAAAAGTTATAAAAACAAAGAAGCACACTTTATGAAATTTCTTGTCCTATTGCATTGCTAATACAAAAGGAGGTGCACTACTAATGTGTACACCGGATCTTGAATATTCCTTAGATCTGAAACATTACACACACTTTCCTTATTCGAACCACATCATCGACGTTATCCTCGACAAATATGAATCTGATTTTGAAAGTTGCACAATCAGCACATTCAGTGTTGTGTCCAATTACGGCTCCTACAATTGTTGGTATTAACTAATTTGAAGGGATCTAAAAGAGGTTCAGAACATTGTCAATTATAGTGTCGATAATATGCCTACTAATTGAAAGATGTTATTTTTTTTTTTTTTTTTTTTTTTTTTTGATAATAAACAAAAATAACAAATCAGATTAAAGTTCATTAACGACAGAGATGTTGGATGGCGGAGTGGGCTAATTCGTTCGCTAACGATCATAAGGTCTATTATCCATGCTAGTCTTGAATTAGATCTCAGCGGCGTTTCTCTGAGTTCTGCGTTTTCTAAAGACTCTACTCTCACACCCCCTCTCTCTCTCTCTCTCTCTCTCTCTCTCAGCAACAACATAATTGGGAGATGGAACAGAGTCATAATGCCTTTTCTTATCTAGTAATATATTGGCTTGGTATAAGTCAGTGGTGACTTTCGGCACCAAGAGAATAAAATAAGATGATAACTTTCTGGATTCGGCCAACTCACTGGAAATACGTAATCATGCACAGGTAGATTGTACATGTTATATGCCATACAGCCTGACACCTGGTTTATTAAATCATGTCAGTTAAAATGTGGGAGGACTTCTCTCTACGTTTCTAGGCTGTGTTTATTTCATGAATGAGCATTCCTTCTTTATACCATCACCAAAACAAATAATCTCAAGTTCCGTTTTCATCCCTGAAAATAGAATCGGCTTTATACCTTTACCTAAATATTTAGATTTCATGCCTTTATTGTTTCATGGATTAATTTTGTAGTGCTTTATTACGTACCACTGTTATTTGCCTATGTAACTAACGGATAAACAGATCTTCCCCGATATTCTTATAATCGTTATCTTATGCTTTTAAAATCATTCATATTTAAAATTACTAGACCTGTTTTTGATTTTGGTCAAAAACAAAATTGTGGATGTCTTTGGACTTTATAATATGTCGATTTCTTTAGTGGGATGAAAAGCTGTCGTAGTCGAAAATCTTAAAGTATAGATTAATTAAATTTCCATACACTAAATGGGGTTTAACGTCCACTCGACACAAGGAAACCCAGGAGGTTGGACAGGCAACCCTACTCCTTGTCACGTACAACCAGGAAATCGAAACCACGCCATTTGACTCAATGACAGACTTTACGGTACAGCGCGCACGTGCTAACCATTTAGCCATCGAACCCTCCTACACACTATATGGACTAGGAACCGAGGTCCGCCAATCGATGCGCAATTGGCCAAAGATCAAGCATGTCAAACTTCATGATCGTACTTGAATTGCCGGAGTCTTAGGCTTTTTTCGAGGAGTGTCGCCCCCGAAGAAGAACATCAAGATGAGTAGCGCTTGGGGACCAGGAATTGTTTTACTAAAACTAGTAACAAACCTGCTTCAGCTTAATATAACGGTTTTGTCCCACTGCTAAAGACCCCTACGCGCAAGCGAATTATTGAAATAAAATTAATTAAACCATATGTTAGTCCCGAAATGACTTAGTTTGTGTCGAGTGCACGTTAAACCCCATTTCTCTCTCTCTCTCTCTTTCAGCTTAATATTTCGGCTCTATACCATAGTCCAGAATAAATGAGATACGTGATGGACATTGAATAAATAACCGTGTTGGTCAAAGACTTTCATAATACTTTCTTACCTGATTGTTGAAATGGGCACTCAACACGGGTTCAGATTTGACATGGTAACAACTAGTATCTTTCAGTGAATAACTAATTCCGACTGTGTATGAGTATAATTAGCGTCCGCTTTCACCGGAGTGATATCGCACGCCACTAATATAGAGATGTTTTATAGGTTCTTGCTTTAAAACTTTAGTAGTGGGCAAATGAGATTCAAATTTATTCTTATGACAGGAGAATTTAAAATAAGAAACTTTGTTGAGCAGTCTGATGTTCTTTTTTTGAAATGTAATTTAACAACATTTGTGTATTCTTAGGTTCTACAGGATTAGGATTTGTTCATCAATAATTTCATAACGCCATTTTATAATTAATTAACACGAAGATGATTCAGATGTCTTTGAACTATAACCTCAGACAATCAGCAATTCGTCGTGGCATGCTCCTAATCAACCATGTAATCACGATCTGGGGCATCTGACCCACTCCTCTTGCAGTGCCACGGCCAATTCTTGCAGTGTTGTCGGTTGACTTTGACGTCGACGTCTCCCGATCAAATTAAACGTAACACACTAAAGCAAAGATTCGCTAAACAGTAAATCGTATGCAAGAACCGATAGGAAAGCAAACATGGATAGGATAAACCAGCACGCGGCAGTTTTCATCAACCCTTCCTTGAAGTGTCAAATTTGACAATGAACCCCTCCCACGTGCATGGCGCTATTGCGTGTCGCATGTGCAGCTCAGTGGTTCTGTGAACATACTCTCAAAGCATGTCAAGTGTCCATGGCTATTTATCATA